TTCAAGTGTGTGTTTTTAAAAGGAGCAAGTCCTGGAAACGTTTTTCAGAAGGAAAACAAAGCTCTCACAGCTGACCCTTGGAGAAAGCTGGGTCTGCTTTTCTTATTGCTATGACCGATAACCAGCAAGCAGCGACTTAAGAGAGGAAGCGTTTATTTGACTCACAGTTTGACAGAGTAGAGCCCATCATGGAGGGGAAGGCTGGGGACCAAGCGTTCAAATACACAAGCCTCTGCGTTCAAATCGCCTTCAAACTATAATGCTAGGGGGTGAATTCACTGTTCTGAAAACTAGCGAATAAAGGGAAACAGTCAAGCAGCCATCTTGTCTAACTCATATAAGCTGTAATTGGTAGTCACGTGGCAGATGAAGGGAAGTTTTTATTTATAGATTTCCTGCTCATATAAGTAGAAGGAATGGTATAATTAGGATGTCATCCTTTTGAACCACTAATAAAATAATGGATTGGGGCAATAATCATCAATGGCTGCTGACATCACTAGGTAAAAGGGGACTTTATAGTGAATGATCAGACATAATCCGCTGATCAAATAAAAGAGAGATATACTTCATTTCACATTGTGTTTCAGAGGAAGCACATGGCAGAGTTTATGAACTTGGCTCTGATCCTGACTGTAGATACTTAGTCAGGTACAATCGGGTGTTAGGAATATAGAAAATCTATGGAATATAATGAACTACTCTAGAATGTGAGAGGTGCCGTGGCTCAAATGACCCAAGAAGATAAGAGCAAAGGCAGAAACCCCAAGAAACAATGATGAAGTGATCCAACTTTTCAAGAGCACCCTCTCTTGCACACATGCATGCATGCGCAAATCACTGAGTGGTATTTGATGCTAAGGGATTAATGGGAGTTTGGTAATGCTTCAACATATTAGAAAAGCGTCATCATCTCATCTCTGTTATTAGATCAACTGTAGCTTCCTCTATGCCTATCCCTATGAGACTAATTCAGCGCATCTCAGAGTTTATTTGTAAACGACAACATAGAAAATATTTTAGGTTTTACAAGTAGCAGCTCTGTCACAGCATTAAAGTGGTTTATTTTGCAGCGATTCAACTCTTGGCCCCTGCAGCATGGAAGCAGCTGTAGACCGTATAGAAAGAAGAATGCTAGGGGTACAACCCATTAGCGCGTGCTACTTATATGATGATATAACAATGTATGGGCATCATGTGTGCCATAAGTCTCTACTGACTATTATAGAAAAAAAGCCATAGCACAATGAGCCTTGTTTAATTCACTGAATTTGGGGGAAATCCCAGGTTTCTGCATTTTAACAAGTCTGGCAGACACTCATGAGAGGTGATTGGAGTCAAGAGGCCTGTTTTTTAATAAGAAGATTGAAGTTCAGGTTAAGACAGATGATTTGCCCAAGGATCTGTAGGTAGAAGAGAGAAGAGCTCTGTTCATGGATGAAAACCACAACTACCATGTCTTTCTGGTCTGGGCTGCACTCACTGCCAGCGAGAAAACAGGTAGAACGTTCCGGGAAAGCATTGGAGGACAGAGCAGGAGCTTTGTGGTCCATGGGACAGTGAACTATCTATATCCTTTAGAGCAAGGGTGAGACCAGACAAGAGGAGGAGGAAAAGAAAAGGGGACTGTGGGATACAGTTGCTGTTCTCACATGAGTCTGGAACCTAGAGTTGTCTGCTATCGAAAACAAAAATACATGATACCTTGTTGGAGCAGAACTTCAGACAAAGCCCACGTTCTTAGTTGTGCCTGTGTCCTGTGTGGTATTCATGGATATAGCTTATTTGTTTTAAATAGAAATTTATCTGGGTGTCTTGTAGTTTTATCCAAAGCCTTACTGATAGGGGCGTCATATTGTGAGAGCCTTATAGCACTGTTTTAGTGGGTAGTGAGTCAAGTGCTCTCCACTGCAAAGTAACAAGGTCACCAGGAAGCTGCTTGGACAGAAGGTCCAGAGGAGGTTTCCCTATTTATGTAGGTTTAGGAACAGTTGCTTACTTTTCTTACAGCTCCGTAGCTAACAAATGTCTTTGGAATGAGTATCTGAAACTGGAGTTGTTCACCTACCTCGTATCCTTACTAGGGGTCTGGAATCCTTCAAAATCTTCATGGTCTCTGGGTGTAAGGAGAATTTTATGGAGATAGTGTGACTCATGCTGTTTCATGTTGATACTCATATATCTGGAATGATGGTTTTTATGGCAAGCGGACTTAATAATTAAAGAAGTTTCATAGTCTTAACTTGACATACATGATGGTCTAAGACACAAAGACCATGGTGAATCCTGCACAGGTTCAGTGACAGAAACAAAAGAAGAACAGGTCTTGGGATTCCACGGCCACCTAATTTCTATAGGCTGGCATCTAAACCCAAAGAACAAAGCCTCTCCTAAGCAATCCCTCCTTCTAGGTTTCCTAATTCCCACCTTTGTTGGTCAGGAGAGTGTGTGAGAGAGGACAGAGGAAGGCAGTGATGGGCAATGAAAGGTGTCCCAAAGCAGACAGGGCATTCTTCCCAAGAACAATTGATTCCAAGTTTCATTTCCTAGATTTTTTTTTCTAGAATCATTATTCGGCATATTTCCTGGATCTTAATAGTTTATGTTGCCCTTTTTCAAGATAAGCCTCAAGATCTTTCAAGCTGTCCCCTTAGAGAGCTCTGATCACAAACTGATATTACTCCTGCAAAGCTTGGGCAAGCCATTTTATTTTCATCTGAGAAGTGGGAACAATAGAGGCTCCTGTTGCCCCCGAGAGGGACAGTATGAAACAAGAGAATATATGACATTATTATTCATTAATTAGTACTGGGTTTTTTTTTTTTTTTTGGATTTTTGAGACAGGGTTTCTCTGTAGTTTTTGGTGCCTGTCCTGGAACTAGCTCTTGTAGACCAGGATGGCCTCAAACTCACAGAGATCCGCCTGCCTCTGCCTCCCGAGTACTGGGATTAAAGGCGTGCGCCACCACCGCCGTGCTATTAGTACTGTTCTTATCTCCGAGACTATGGCTTCCTGATAGCTTTTGTCTGGGTAGGTTTTAAGGTGGAGATATTTGTCATGAGTGTTTTATCATTACAAATTATTAGACCACTACCTTTCCCTTTCCCAGACTTAGTCTTCTAGTTATGCTGGAAGGAAATCAATATGGGTTCTTATGGACAATAAAGGAAGTTAGACCTGCTGTGCTGTCCAGGAGTATGAAGATGTAAACAGTGAAATGTGTGTCCACATCTCTGCACTTAGTGATACCCAGGTAAACAGTGAGATGTGTATCCACATCTCTGCACTTAGTGATGCCCAGGAGGAGTTTGTAGCCATGATTCTGAGGCAGCCTTGTTGCTTAATTCATATTTTGAAGTTGAAGAAACTTAAGTTCCTAAAGGCTAAGTACTCATCAAAAATCATACCAAAATTTAGGGTTTCTTGACTTCCAGTTTTTGCTGATTTTGTCATGTTAAGGACCTTACTCCTTGAAGAATGGAGCATAAATTTCACCCACATGGGTGGTGCTACTCAAGAGTCTTCTAAAGGGGGCCCCTGTGACTAGTTAATGTTCTTCTGACACTTGTCTGCTCAAATACTTAGACCCATCACAGTTCGCACCCCACACTCTTGAACACAGAGACTTCAATTTAAAATGTTCTCGGTATTGTATATATAAAAACAAAACCACTAAGACACATACTAGCCTCAAGTGAAGGGTTCCATTATTTAAAATTATACACCCAGGGTGATGTGTTGGAACATCACAGATTTCTGTTCCTTTTCAGTCAAAATATCAGATGAGACAACCATTCTCGCATATAATATCACAAACATACTTCTTTTACAAAACTGATATTTTTATGTGTACTTATATCTGCTGGTTTCTGTCTGTATATTCAAATGTTTGTGTTTGATTTTATCTTGGAATTTTAAAATGCGTTATGTGATCATTGTAAAATTTCAAACACTATAGAAATACATATAACAAACACTGGAACTTTCTTACTTGCATCTCTAGAGAAAATTACAGCTTAGTATCATTCTGGACTCCTTCATATCATCCACAACATCACACACGATTACTATGTATTTATTATTTTTATGTATTTCCATTTTTACATGAACGAGAATGACAAAGTGTATTTATCAATAAATTATGTTTTCGTCTACTACAGTTATTGTCTTGGACATAATTAAATACCAGTACAAGTAACATTTTTGCATTCTGTTTTAACTCTCATATATACCTTTGAAAATGAATATATCCATGCTTTTAGAAACAACAAAGAAAGGCCTTGAACCAAAAAAAAAAATTGCCTACACACAAGGAAATAGTTTTCTACTATTTCTGCAGTGAAACCGATGGATTTCAAGACTCTTGCAACATCAGTGTGGTCAGATAAAACAAAAATTGTACCTTCAGGCCTCACACCTCCTCCAGCATCAGATAGCAACCTTTCTTTTCCCTTTTTATCAAGTGTCTTTTAAATACATGTCTATGCTCTTTTACTTGGCATCTCTTCATTTGTGTGTGGCCATTTGTAGCTATTTTGTGGTTTGTCTGCTCAGTCTTTACTCATCTGTCTGTTGGTTTGCTTGTCTAACTGATGGGAAGGACTGCCATGAATCACATCGACTTTAATTCCTTGTCTGTCCCAGCACTGGGGAGGCAGAGGCAGAAGGACTTCCTCCAGCTTGAGGCAAGCCTGGTTTACACAGAAACCTTCCAGGCCAGCCTGGGGCTACATAGCAAGACTATTTTACAAAAATTATTATTAAGTAGTAATGATTATAATAATTTATATGTTACATATGTTGCAGATATTTCTGTCATTTGTCTTTTGATTATGAATTTTGTCTTTGCTATTTAATTTTACAAAATTGTGTCTATAAATTATATCCTTTATGACTTTTTAAGTGTATGTCATGTAGGAAGGTCTTCTACTCCTGAGGTTATACAAATACCTTTATAAGTTTTCTTCTAATATTCTTATTGTTTTGTTTTTATGTTTAGCTCTTTAATCCATCTGGAAATGATTTTTGTATATGGTGTGAGGTAGGTATCTAAGTGTATTTTTTCAATGAATAGTTCATTGTCCCAACACTTTAATTACTAACCCATCATTTCATATATTAAACGCTAGTATTTATCCATGGTTCTGCTTCCAGGCTTCTATTTGGTTACACTAATATATTGTCTATCCTTATGCTAAACTCAGAGTGTTCATTACATAGTGCAATCAAATATTTTACTTATCTGATGAAACAAATCCCCATCATTGTTCTAGTTCAACGAGTCTTTAATTAAGCAATCAGTACTCTGGATAAAGTTTGGATTCATTTTGTCAGCTCCCATAACGCATTCCATTGGGGGCTTTTTAAATTTATATTGCGCTGAAGTTTGAAATTATATTTGAAGAATGAATGAGAGGCTTATCCCACCAAACCTTCTTATTGAAGAAGATGATATAACTGCATCTAAGTGGGTCCTCTTTTGTGTTCTTTTGCCTAAACAGACCTATACATCTAAAGCTGAGTTATGTCTCAGAGTTTAAGCCCTTTCTTGATATTCTACAGTTTTATTTTTCAATTCCGTTTTGAGTTACTATGGTATTGTTAGGTGCATTTTGTCTATTGTGTTTCTATATGGATATCTTACTGAGCTACAATAGTTTCAATTTCTTTTTAGTTAGTTGTTTTGAATAATATGCTATTTCCAGACAGCAATTTTGATTCTTCTGTTTCAACATTTTATTATATACTTATTTTTAAACGTAAATATTTTATTAATTCTTTGAGAACTCTTCATACCATCTGTTATGATCATATTTATGCCCGACTCCTCTCTGTAACTCCTTCCGGATATATCCCAGCTCCACAATCCACAAACTTTGTGACCTCCTTTTCAAAAATGTAGTAACTCATAGACTTGACTTTGTTCTGGCTGTGTGTCTATCCACTGAAGTGTGGTTGACCTATCTTAGGAGAAGACTGTCCCTCCCCTAGAAACCGTAAAATCTCCCTAACACCTCAGTCAGGGGTTGGGTCTCATGGCCTCCTCTCTCCTCCATACTAGGATGCTAATGCTTGTGCAGGCAACCGTAGCAGCTGTGAGTTCAGGACCACATCGTTCCTGTGATGTCCAGAAGACACTGTTTTTGCTCTGGTCCTCTCTGACCTCTGGCTCATACAATCTCTCCTTCCCCTCTTCTTTGTTTACCCTGAGCATTGAGGAAGGAGTGTGATACAGATGTCCCATTTGTGGCTGGACTCTCACAAACACTTCTTCTCTGCAGGTTGACCAGTTGTTAGTTTCTGTGTTAAGCACCATTAGCTGCATAAGGAGACTTTCCTGATGAGGTCTGAGAGTTGCCCTAATCAAGGCATAGAAAGATATGTATTTAGAAGTCAGTTTGGATACTGTGTCTATTTAACAAAATAATTACTTTGTTACATTGCCTTGGATTTCCTGGACAGCTTTGCAAAATCAAGGAAAGAATGTCCTTTCTGTTCTAAGGTTTTTCAGGCATTGTGATAGTTAACCTGTTACTTAAAAGAAGTTTTCTTCCTTACTCATAGATTAAGGATTTCAACCAGGAAACAATAACTTTAGTATCTTTTGAAAGAATGCTTTTTCTTTATTTACTTTTTAGTTAGGCAAATGGAATAGTAGATTTCCTAAGTTGTTTATCTTGTCGTATATTTTTAATATAATACAATAAGTTATTCATATTTGGCATTATATTTAGAACAGAGATAGCTCTCTCAGTACATATAGATACAATCTTTTTATCTGTATTTATATATTTGAGGTTCTATGTTGTTAGACCATTTCTGCCTTTAGAGAAATTTAAACCACAGAGAATGGTTTGAGAAAGTATCTTTGCTTTTTACACTGGAAAAATACAAGTCAGGAAACCTAGTAGAATTCACAAACAAGACCATCTTTTTGTTTTCTTCACACGTGTATTTTATTTGCTGTAAATTTAATATTTTGTTCTCAAATTTTCTACATTTTCAGATTTTCACTAATATTTTTTGGTAAATCAGTCACTGAACTTGTATTTTAGGAATTACTGTTTTTAATTTTAGCATTTTACAGTTTTCTCTTCTACATTGTTTATTAACATGGCCAGTGATTTTTATGACTTTGGAAGGCAAGCAATTCATTATGTAGATCGAGTGAGAGTTTTGTCTTTTTCATCTCTGTTTGTTTGGGCGCTCTTTTGATTTATACCAAATCAGTTTCATTTTCAAATTTTGTTTTTATTATTTATTTATTTTTATTCTCTTTCTATATTTTTATAGGGCCTACTTCCCTCTAAAACTGAATCTTTTCTTAATATAGTTATATAAAGCTACTCAAATTCTACATATTTTTCTAAGGATTACCCTAATTTTTCATATGGTTCAATGGTAAGACTCTAGTTTATGCTCTAAAAATAGTTTTAAATATTGTTTTTACTAAATAGCATTTTAGATGCTCCCAGTGAACCTTTTAATAGATTAATCCTTTGTTGTTATTTCCGGTTTGCTTTATTTGGTAAGGGAGATGTTTCTTGTTCTTATAATGGACATATTTTTTCTTTGAAATTTCAGATGTGTTTGAGGTTTAATATGTGGTTGGAGTTTGTAATTAAAAATAATTTTAGTGTGTATTAGTTTTCCATTGTGGTGGCTTCATCGGTTTTTAAGTCTTATAATATTTTGTTCATTACAAATGTAAAGATCACTGTGTATTTCATGTAATACTATTGTAGTACCTGAGAACACAAGTTCAAGATTAACATAATGTTGGATTTTTTTCAACTTTATATATAATAGTCAATTGAAATAAACATGACATAAGCCTTTTTAATAGTAAATTGCTGACATTCAGGGTTTCTCAACTTCATATGAGAAAGAATATGAAATGTCTAAAAAGAAATTAATAAAGGAAATTTAATTGGCCATACACATCTGCATATTCATCTATATGAAATGCATGCTTGTGTATGGGCATATGCACATATATGGCTGATTATATTTCACTTTTATCACATGTACTCTCATTGTTTAATTTTGAGTATTTTGTAATTTTGTTTTAAGTACAGCTTTTCTAAATAAGGTAAACCTTGATTTTTAATCTAAAATTTTCCTCGCGAGTTAGAGGCAGACCCGCTTATACTATCTACAGAGTTTTACACTTCTCTTCCATTTTGTAATCTTTGTTCATTATTGCGGTTCTCCCTGTTTGTGGTGTCTTTTGTAAGCTGGAAGATTTTGATGATGCTGCCTGATACAGGCTGGGAATCTGTATGTAGTATTTTTTTATTCTTCTGGAAGCTGCTTTAAGTTTTTCACAAGCGCAGTTAAGTGTAGATTGTTGTGATCAATAATTGATTGGTATCTATAAGTGTTCTTTCTCCTCTCTTAATGATAAAGTCTTTATTGGGCTTTTAATTATTTCTGTATCTACTCTTCTCTGCACTTACAGTTAAAATCATGTGGAAATTTCATGCCCCATAATGAGCTGAGCAGCAGCAGCAGTAGTACTGTTAACATTATTGGTGATATTACTTACTCCATGCTTCTATTTTATAGGAAGCCCTTATTAGTTACTGTATTACCTTTAGTCACCAATTTAGCAAGCGTTATTCAGATTTACATTGCATTGTTGTGGTCCATTTGCTCTGTGGTTGTGGAATTCAAGCCATTGCATTTCGCGCACACCTTTTCTTCTGTTCTTCTCAAGCCATCCTTTATCAATTCCTGGTGATTTTGTTTGTGCTTCGTTTTCTTTGAAGGCCTGTGTGTAGGGAGAAGGGTCCTGGTCCTTGTTTCTCAGGCAGGAGTATCTTGCCTTGTCTTTACAGTCAATGCGAGAGTAGACCAGGAGTCAGGTGACTTTTCTAAAAATCCCGACGATCGGTTTCTCCTGAGACATTCCCAGTGGATAAGACGCACATTATCTGTCCTTTTAGATAGAAGGTTTTCACCTCCTTAGTCATCCACTTCCCAGTGCTCATTGTTGACGCCCATCCAACCGGTCCATCAGGGAAAGATGTTCGTGTTAGCAGTTTACTGGGCCACACAATACAGAACTCCTTCCTTTTCAAACCCACAGCAAGCAATTACATAACAAATTTCACCTATTAATCCAACTTCTGACGTTCTGCTTGGCAACAATGCAGTTCATGCCTGAGTCTTGGAACATGTTGCGAACTTTCTTTCATGTGGGCTAGTATCTCTAACCCACTGGGTAGTGAATATTTATGCAGAGATTCCCCCCTCAGTCATAACCCAAATGTCTGACCCTCTCAGTCACTTTCTCTTACCCTTGACTCTCATAGGTAAACACACTAGTAGTGTCTCTTGAGGCTGATTTTAAAGACCATATCCTCTGTGTTGTAGCTTACCAAGCATTTTAAAGACTCTTCTTTGTCTTCACCCTATCTCTTAGGGGCATCTTGAAGTCTCTCTCCTGTTCACATGAAGCACAGATCCTATGTTGTGATGAAAAATTTAAGTGAGAACAGAAATTAAGAATCTATAGATTAGCTGTCTGTAGTATATATTTGTGCTTTGATTACCTTTGTCAAGGGGTCTAACTCAATACCTGTGGCCACTCTGATGCCTGGAGCTCACACCATGATTCTCCTGGCTTCCTCCTGGAGTTGTCTTTAAGGGAGATTTTAAGATTCTATTCTAGCACCAGGCTCTTAGGTCTCTCTCACTTCAGGTCACCTTTTAGTTCTCATGCTCAGTGTTAAGAAGTCTGCCTTCTTCCCTCAGGTCTGACCTATAGCTGCTTTCAATATGCTGTTCACCGATGTGAGCATCTCTGTTCACCTCTGAGTTCAGGTTACCTATAGCATGACCACGTTAGGATACAATGCATGGAGGGTGCATTTATATAAGAAAGGTAGAGACTTCCGGTTGACTTGGTCTATTTGATAACTCTATGTGCCTCTGTCTTTACCCTTTTTAGGTGGGAGGACACACCATGCTCCCCATCCGCTGGATGCCTCCCGAAAGCATCATGTACCGGAAGTTCACCACAGAGAGTGATGTGTGGAGCTTTGGGGTTATCCTGTGGGAGATCTTTACCTATGGGAAGCAACCATGGTTCCAGCTCTCCAACACAGAGGTAACAAAGGGACAGGTCACGATCCGGTCTGGGAGAAGGCTGATGATAGCTATCATAAAACAGGGATTGCATACAGTGTACAGACAGTGGGCTGTTGCGGGAGCAGAGTGGATGCAGGCAAAAATCGGGGGGAAATCTTAGTGGAGGAAAGTTTGTAACTATAGAAAATGAACATGAATGCCGTCGGAGCTTAAAGTCAGAAGTCTACACTGAGGCATGAGTCTGTTCTACTACACATAAACAACAACTGCCACAAAATTAAAACATTTCATCAAGAGAGAAAATCAAAACAAAGAGCAGCTGTGAGTTTTCTATTGTGCCATCTTGTGGAAACACCTACTACTTAGCATGTCTACAGAAGGAGGTCCCCAAAGTTCTGAGCGACCCCAGGCACAGGGAGGCACGGGTCCCAATTTGTCAGAAAAGGCGAAGTTCACATGATTAACAGAGTTGTATGCAGGTGTCCAGCTACAGCATAATAATATATTATCATATTTTTGTAATTTCAATTTATGATGAGTTAAGGTAGTAGATGATGCATGTGTTTACTGTTTACTGTTGACAGTAAATAATAATTGTTAGCAGGTACTTCTCTATGCATCTCTGGTGCAGTAACTTGAGAATCTTCACAAAAACACCTCACCTCTTGAGCTTTGGGTCAAAGAAAGGGGGTTACTTGGCATCTTGGAAGAAGCTGTCTGTCAGAAAGTACTAGACAAGGAGATGGCTTGGCTTGTGATTTTAGGAGTTTTCTATTTTTAAATGACACACCTTATCTATGTGCAGAACAGAGCCGCTGGACCCAGGAATTCAGCACAGTCCACAAACAGTATGGGTGGGACTCCTGTAGCAGCAGACTTACAGAAAATGACAGCATTTGGAACTCTTTTTGTTTTTTGAAATCATCACCACTAAGGCCTTTTTGTATTAAAATATCATTTTAATATTCAAGAAAGTATTTTTTTCTTAAAAGCTATGTTCATTTCCAATCTTCATTTGAGCACATTTCAAAGATCACAATGTAAGGCTGGGGATGTGGCTCAGTTGGTAGACCATTTGCTTAACATGCAGGAAGCCCTTGATCTTCTGTGCTACATATTCAGGCGTGGTGACCCCTGCCTGTAATCCCTGCACACAGGAGATGTAGGTGGTAAGATCAGGAGTCCAAGGTCATCCTTTGCTTCATGTAATTTGAGGACAGCCTAGATCTCGTGAGACCTTGCCTGAAAACAAAACAAGGCATTTCTTTATATCTGTGATATCTCACTATACAGGTACTCAATGGGACCTGACCTCAATTTCCAAAGTATAACAAACATTTATGGAATAAGGAAAGAGTGTATATAGAAGCTATTTGCTGTGAATTTTATTTAAATTGGTAGTCTTTTCCTGGGGGATGGTACACACATGCATTTGCACATAGAGATACATGAATGTGAACTTACATGCATGCAAATACACACATGCATGCATCTGGGCTCAACCTCCATGGTATTTGGTAACCAAAGAAAGAAGAATCCCTGAATGTGTGTGATGTTGGTGTTAGCAGAACCTTGTCATGGATCCCTAAGATGGGTAGAGTGGCTAATGGGGTGTTTATAACCTCTTTGAAGATGATGTAGTGGGACCCTACCCTTGAAGGCAGGCTTTCTTCCCTCAGCTCCTCCCCTTGCTCTGTCTACAGCAGCAGCTGGGTATAGGCAGTCACTGGTAATGGGCTACATTGTGGAAGTTTATAACCTGGCTGGTTCTGCTTTAGAGAAGATGCCAGTGGGTGCCTTCGGTCTAAGCCTAAGCAGCAGCTATTGCAGCTTGACGTAGATCCTTCTTCATGAAGGTGGAGAGAATAGAGGTGAGATCTGGGAGAGGTCTGATAGCATGGTAAACACAGCACCTGGAGACTTACCAGGTTGGCAAAGAAACGATCCCAAAGTGCCATCCCAGACTCCATGGTGAGTGTGAATAGTAGGCGCTGGCACAGTGAAGGTCATTCCTGGTCAGTGATGTGAGATACCCAGAAACCCAGGGGAAGGCCCTGTTCTGCAGGATGCAGAGATAGATGGGGAGCGAGACAAGGAGGGTGAGCAGAAGAGAAGAACAGAGGAAGAATGGGAGAGAGGGAGGTTCTTACCCAATAAAATACATGCTAATGGGGAAGAGAAGGCAAGCATTTGCTCAGATACCAGAGTTCAGAAAGTGTTTTGTTCCCTTTTTGAAAAATGCAGATATTTTAGTTTTAGTAAAGAAATGTCTGACCTCCCAGAAGAGCCAAAGGGGATGCCATGAGTTGATACAATGCAGTGTTCCGGATGGAATCCTGGAATAGCAAAAGGAAAAGAGGTTAAAAATTAAGGCAATGTGGGTAAACAATGGCATTTGGCTAATAATGGATTAGCAAAATGCAGTGTGTAATATGCTAATAGCAGGCAGATGGCAGATCATAATAGAAACCATATATACTTTTCGCAACTTTTCTTTAAACACGACGTTTTTTTAAAACGGAGTTTATTTTCTTGCTATTGTGAATAATGCAGCCATAAACATAAGCATGCGAAGGTCTGTGGTAGGATCTAAGTTCTTTAGGTATATATACCCGGGAGCAGAGCGGCTGGGTCGTGTGATAGCACCGCTTCTAACTACTTGAGAAACGCCCATGTTGAGGTTTCTAGCCGGGCTTCCAATGTTTGTAGGCATGTGTACACATAAGAGTGAGCATGGGATTAGGTTATGAAACCAGAAGGTAGGTGATGGCAAGAGAAGAAGAGGCCCTGGGGGACACCTACAGGAGGGACAATAGGACACATGAGATGTGAGAGCAGAAAGGATGCTATGGAGGTGGAGGAAGTATAAAAAGTGGTATCAAGGGGAAGGACAGAAAATGACAGGAAGAGAATAAACGCAACCAAATAAAACCAAAACGCCAGAATGAAAATTAATACTGCATTTTCTAATTAGAAAAGTAAAGTCTAGTGTTAAAATTAAGGAAAAGATGGGGAAATGGTGTCTTAGAGTGGGAATACACTCAGAGTACAAGATACTTGTGTTAAAATGTCCTTATGTAACACAGTACTGTGTAGAATGGATACAAACCAATGGGAAAGCAAATGATTCTTCTAAAATATACCTGGACTGAGAGTGTTGATAATTAGTACAAAAATCGCCTGTTCCTGAGGCCCTGCGTTCAATTCTCAGCATTTAAAAGAAAATGCCTTTGAGTAATTGGAATTAAACTGTAAAGAACATACCTGGGCCTCCTACATCTGAAGCCATCCCTTTGGTACGGCACAGTTTTTCTTGTTGCAATTTGCTCCTGCTGGAAATCCAGAGCCCAGTCTTCCAGACAAGGGTGATGAGGTCCCTGGAGGTTAACTGACTTGAACTGGCTGGCCCACCCAAGGAGTGGTGACTCTGGTAGCTCACAAAGAGCTGTGGGCAGCTGAGGAAAGCCAGGAGCAGAGAAGAGCTCCAACTGGTTGCCAAATGGTCAGCCCTGAAAACATGCATTCAAGTGATGGTATTTGGACTGAGAAGGTTCTATTTAAGAATAAATATGCATATATGTATACATTTGTATTATATGTATATAATAACTATAAAAGAAGAGACAATGAATTTGAATGAGATTGGGGAGAGGTATATGGGAGTTTTGGAGGGAGGAAAGGAGTAAATGCTACAATTCTTGTAGAATCTCAAAAATAATTTTTAAAATGAATATCAATGAAATACTTTACAAAACACCTGCACAGGCTTAGAAGAAAAGCAGTCCTGCCTCCTACCCAGACATCAACCTGTGCATATGGCCATGATGAGTTAAGTTGGTGTCTGTTGCTAGGTAGAAGTCCCAGGACCAAGGGTGAGCTTTGCATGAATTTCTGGATATAACCTCTCTATTCTTGCTTTCTCAGGTCATTGAGTGCATCACCCAAGGCCGCGTCTTGGAGAGGCCCCGAGTCTGCCCAAAAGAGGTATATGATGTCATGCTGGGGTGCTGGCAGAGGGAGCCTCAACAGCGGCTGAATATTAAGGATATCTTCAAAATCCTCCAGGCTTTGGGGAAGGCCACCCCCATCTACCTGGACATCCTCGGCTAGTAGGACTGGTGGCCAAGCATTTATACTCTGTTGCCTCCTCTCTCCCTGCCTCATATCCACTTTCTCCTCATCTCAACTCCTTTCTTCCATCTTTGACTGAAATGAACATCTTCATATAAATTCAAGTGCCTGCTACACATACAACACCGAATTTAAAAAACAAAACAAAACAAAACAAAAGAAAGAAACCCTCTAAGGCAGTTTGACATATATATATTTATATATATACATAACTATCTATCTATCTATATCTACAGAGAATTACCTTCTCTAATACATAGAGACGCTGCTGATACAGAAAACCATAAGACATTAACAACTGAGAAACATTTTAAATATTATTATTAACACAAATGAAATTCCCTTGACTTAAGCTGTGGCCATGCTTCTTCAGCTCTGACTTTCCAGAGCTCTTCGTCTTGACCGGCAGAGAGGGAGGATGGGAGGAAGGCATGGTGACGCACAATCATCCATGCGCATGCGCGACCCATTGGCGGTGCTTGGCAAGGAAACAGTTCTGGAAGTCCAGGCCCTTTGGAAACATCTCCGGCCTGCCTTGACCTTCGCCTCCACTCTCCTCCCCTTTTCTTCTTTGGGGGCAGTTTTCTAATTTTTTTTCCATTCTACAAATATATAGTCCTGATGCTTTTGAGAATCAGCGATGACACCTACGAGTAACTACTGAACAAAAGCCAACACCAGATCCCACGAGAGCAAAGCCATCCATGGCCCGGTTAAACGCCGAGCAAGTCAGTGCGGGGGGGACTCTGGGAAGAGCAAACCCCAGCCTTGTGGATGTAAATCACGCTCAAGTTCCTTACTGGGTTTGAAGAGCTTCGATCCTCTGAACCTGAAGAACTGGATTTAAATTGGCGAATTTAGAGACTCGAACCAAGGAAGTAAAAACAGCTGAGAATCCTATCAAGGCACTACCACTCATCTTTCCATCACTTGGAAGACTCTTTGGCCTGTCCTTGCCTTTTCAGGCCCTTGGGGAGTTGGGAGGTTTAGAGTCCACGTTCTCTGGAGTCATCTCTTAATGTGGACACAGAGGCTTCGGGGCTCTGGGATTTGCTTATTTGCTTGTAGATCATAATTAGGCGTCCCCGTGGGTCTTATTTTCTTATCTCGCTTTCCCCACATCCCAAGGTTCTCTCAAGTCCTGGGTAAACCCCATTGCCAGGGAAGGAATCCAGCCGAGAGCCTGAGGCATGTGTGTTTCGAGGAGCCAGACACTGGCATTGGCAAAAGCCAGCAGAGAATCTACTTGGCACCTGCGTTGGGCCCTTGGCATTCTCCTCACGTTTTAAGCCCTTGGAAGGATTAATGCATCTGTCTTTGAGCTGTTGCGAAAAAAGGCAGGGACTGAGAAATGGCTCTGTGGGCTGGGTGCGTGTGGGGGGCGAGGGGAGGAGGGCAGGGCGGTGACTGAAGCTTCTCTGGAAGCTGTCCAATGAATGAGTGGCCAGTGCCGCAATTTTGCCATCCTAATGAGGACCAAGTGCTGACCAGGGAGTGAGAATGAAACATCTGGTCTGGGGCCCGTCCCCTAAGCCCCCAGCTCCAGGGAGAATCGCTGCCTTCCCAACTGTGTTGCTGAGGATGGCAAAAGAGGCAGGCGGTTTCTGGACAGCTCTCACACAGAATGAAACGCCCCCAGGAGCCGCACCGAGCCATCTTGCTGGGGAGGAGTGGATGTGCCCCTCCTAGGGTACCCGTCTCTCCACCTCATCCCAAGCACAGAACTACCTAACAGACATTTTCTTACCAGAAGCTCCCAGGAACCGCCGACATACCATTCCTTGCCAGCTGAAAAACTCTGCAGCCTAGATATCCCGACCAGTCAAAGGCAGCTGAAGTATGGGCAACTCCATGGCGGGTTAAGGACTGGATTACGTGTTTGTGATTTTACTTTTCTTTTTTAAATACCAACAAATGTTTTTATTCAACTAGAAAAGAGCTGTGCTCAGATTGTAGCCATGGTTGGGATTCAGGGATGAGCAAGCCTGCTCAGCTGGACTGGGGAGAGAGCTGGGTCAACTAGGAATTCAATGTGGAACTTCTTACTCCACTGGGTGCCCAGCCCCTGAAGTTGTCAGGGAGAGGCTCTTTGGATTGATCCCTTAAAAAAAAAGAACCCTTTGCTGTCCTGTGGCAATGACTTCTCTTATTACACCTTGATTCAGTCCACCTGAGGCTTTGGTCTCTGCTGGGGATGTGAGCGCCGGGTGGTAGTTTCCATCCCAGTTTTTATCCTGTAGCCAAGGGGGAGACATTCCCAGGCAAGGGATGACTGGGGGCGGGAGCTGAGGAGAAAGGGATTCCTTGTTAGAGGGGATGATGCTCCGTGGTGAGCGGGGGTTGCTGGAAGAAGTGGAGGTCTGGTGTTTAGAGCCTGTGTGGGAGAGCTGGGAGAAATGACAAGGCTGAACTTGCTCAAGGGTCCTTGTGCTACTTCCATAAGCTTCTACACTGGCAGTCGGGGTACCTCCTCTCTACATCCTCCACTGTCAGCCGCCTGTGTATCAGTAAGTGAGAGAGGGGGCAATGGAGTTAGGAGGGGTGCAGAACGGGGTCAACCTTCTTCCTATCCTGGCAACCTCCCTGTGTCCAGGAGATTTTTCCATGTGAACCTTGGAAAGTGGAGAAAGGGCTTGCGGCTGCTTCCGAGGGTAAGGACACGCAGAACAGGCTTTGGATAGTGATGGCTCTGGGGTGTGCAGAGCGTCTTACTCCTCTGTGCCGGCACAGAACGCATACGACTCACTTCACTGTGCCATGTTTTCCTTATGTGCAGAGTAAGGGGGGGGGGGCCTGGTTATGCCCCCATCCTATTCTAGCCCTCAATCTTTAGCTCCTAACAGCACGGAATCACTGTGCCATTTTTTCTCTTAGCATCGCTCTGGAATGCCTAGAAAATCCTCCTTTGGCCTAGTGCAAGCAGAAGGCGGTTGTCTCTGAGGACACACTGTACTTGGGCTGAGGTTGGTTCCAGCAAGTCAGTCTGATCCTCCTCTTCCTCCCTTGTCAAAACATGCATGAGTCTAAAGTTTCTGAGACTACTTTAGCTTGGGGTGGAGGGGATATTCTCTCTCATTCCCCACCCCAGCCTTCCCCTATACCAGAAAATTGTTATTGGTGGTTTATTTATTTATTTATTATTTATTTATTTTTTTAAAGAGTCTAATGTGGTCTGATGAGTCTAGAATTGACATCCCATAAGCCCATGTAGCTGCTGCCACCTGCTCCATCCTGCTTCCTACTTAAATGTGTCTACCCCATGCCAAATTGATTTAGTACTTAGTTTGAAGTCAACTGCACTGTGAATGCTCATGAATGGTCCAGAGAACCCATGCTTATCTCTGTGCCCTGTCACTGTCACCTGGACCTCCCCTTAATGGACAAAGAATGACGTGGCTATCCACTGTAGAGCTGGGAGTCATGGCCAAGGTTCCTTTTAGTTATGTGCTCTGGCCAAGAGCCTGATGCTCCTTTCTGATTTCATCTCTGAACTAGGAGCGGTTGCCAAGGGGCACTCAGCCTTCACTAGCCAATAGACAAAGGACTTGGGCCCTTCTTCCACTCAGCAGATCATGCACATGTTATTCCCAGAGACAACTTTTCACCGGAGGCGAAGATCCTCCATTTTCCCAGGCTTGAGGTGAACAGTTTTTGTTCACTTCTGGTGATCCTTACCTTGTGGAACACACTAGTGCAAGTACTTCTGGTGCTAAACACTATATAAATCAGTACCAATGGAAGAGCTTTACAGCAGACGTGAGGATGAGTGAACCCTGCTTGATGAACACCCAGACAGTGGAAAGACCACTGAGAACCCTGCCTTCATGCTTGGCTAACCCATGTGATTGTGGCTAAGTCAACATTTCTTTAATTATCAGTCTTCTCCCCTCCCCCTCCCCGAGATATACAGAGTTAGAAAAATGGACCCTTAGAATCTACTTCAGTTTGAAAGGCTCTTTTGAGTTCCATCTACTCCTTATTCTCTAAGGTTGTATGCTAGGAATGAGAGATGAAACGAAAGGCAAGGAGGGAAAGGCAGAAAAGTTGCTCTTGACAAAACTGACCATAAAGGAAAGTAGAGAATATTTTGTGCCTGGTATGTTTGAAGGACACTGGTGCAGGATCTAGGCACACCAGTCGGGAAGTAGCAGTTTGTCTTCTTCAGGAGAAGCTGTGCTTCTCTTCCAGCCTTCTTCCCGACTTCACATGCCCATATTTCAAGTCGGAAATATGGAGACAGTCCCATCCACCTCCCATGAAAAGCAAATAGTAATCTGGACTCTGGGTCAGAAACCAAGAGATTTTTTTTTTTGCATGTACATAGTACATACTTTCTTCCCATTCTTTTATATCCAAGAGTAAGGCTGGTGGGATACTTGTTTCCAAAGGCAGCAGTAAAATCTTTACACTTACCTGAGAGTTTTTGCAATCTTTGAAATTCTCTGCTTAGAGGGTGCATGGAAATATTTGTGGATGATCAGTCAGCAAAATCAGATTCCAGCAGTCCCAGGAGCCACCCACAAACATCTCCACCATGTCTAGTGTCTGTTATGGTTGGGCATCAACCTGCTAAAGTGCAAAAGGTGTTTACCTCAAAAAAAAAAAGTCTCCTTGAGCTAAGACCTTGTGAACTGTGGTCACTCAGTATGATTTTATTTCTTTACGATCCCCATTATTTGGTACCAAGTAATGTTTCAACTAGTACTTACCAGGGCTGGAAGGGGAATTTCAAGTTTGGGCACCATTATTAAAACATCAGGGTGGACTTCAGAACCTGTTTGGGCATTGTTCGAATATCACCAGGAAAGCATTCCTTTTCAGCTTTAGTCCCGTGCATGTCATGCACCCTAACGACCCATTTGATGGCGATAGAGTCAGAGAAGTCTCCCTGGAATCGGCAAACCAGTTGCAGGTTGGGATTCTCTTTGGCACTGTGTGTTTCTTCTGGAAGGGACCTGCAGAGATACTCAGAAGGGTCCCAAAGGGAAGTTGCTCATCTGCTTGTTAACAGTAACATCTGAGCATCTCAAATAATATCCCTCCTGGTTTTCTGATAGTTCACCATGCCTAAACCCTTTCCACTTACGTGTTGTTTGGGATTTACTATTAGAGATGCCAGCAAGGCAGATGAAGCCTCTCCCAGGAGGGTCAGACAGAAGAGGACCTGAGAGGATGGCAGTCTGTCATGCTCTCTGATAGGCATGGGGAATGGTGGTGGAGGTAGTGACTATTTGCCTCAGTGCACAGGGACTTGCATCTTGGTTTCTGAACAGGACTTCTGTTTGTCTGGTGCATTCTCTCCAAACACTGTGTGTGTGCACGCGCATGCACGTGCGCAGTCCATGCAACAAGTTTCTGATGTGAAAACTGAGGCCCCTTTCTGTGAGATCTGTGGAGATATGGGCTCCACCTGAGAGAACTTGGAATTCCCTTTTTCTTTTCTTTTCCTTCTTATTAGCAATATTAAATTGCATAAAACCATGGGATTCCTTATGACACTTTCAATATGTGAGTACCTGATTCCTCTCCATAGGCAGAGAATTCAGATTGCCCTTCCTGTGGGCAGCTAGGTTCCAACTTTTAAACCAGGACCGATTTGACATTTACCATAAGAATTATGTCTTAAACCAGCAAGCAAAGTTCCCTCTTTAGTAAGAACATAAATTCTATTAATGATTTTTCCCCCTAAATCATCCACGTATTTATTGGATCTCCAAGCACAGAGTTCTCAAGAGAAATTTAAAGTCCTCAAAGTAGATGTTTCTTATAGAAGGTGGATTGTGATAACACAGAAGACAAGGAGCCTACAGAACTCCTACTTCTGAGGAGCTCCCAGGCATTTAGGTATGGCTTTCGTTTAGTATCTATGAGAGGATTCAGTTTCTTCTCATTTTAGGCAGTCGGGGATTCAGACCTCTTTCCTGCAAGAGGAAAGGTAGTGTGGGCACCCAGCTCCGCACTGTGTAGTCTAACATTCCTTTGGATCCCCTCAAAGGAGTGAGAATCACACGCTCAAATCTAAATCTGGTATCTATCATTTCATTTAAGAAGCATTCATGGGAGTGTTCCTTTAAAAAGAAACTAAGTTTTTATACTATCTGGAGTAGTAGGACCTATTCAGTTTCTCCCCTTGGAGATTAGCCCATGTTCTGTCTCTATTTCAAAGCTGCCTGACACTTACCTGGTGCCCTTGAAGCTACTTCTGGACAGGAAGAAAAAGCCTGATCCAGGTAGCTTGATTTCTGCAACCCATAGGAGAGGAGTACATTTCAGTCAAGATTTTCTTCTTTCTGCTTTTTCGTTTCCCCCTTTTTTTCTTGGTTCACATTCTCTGGTTTCTGTGGGATGGAGGATCTGGCATCTGAAACTCTGTGAAAGTCTTAATAAGAGGTGAATCCCAGGACCACAAACAGTTTGGACTTCAAACAGTGAGAAAATTGGCGCTGAATGATTCGGCACACAAAGCAGAAAACTTTCATTTCCTGCAGGCAGGATGGAATTGACTGTTATATTAAGACTTCTGAAGGAGCCCTGCCCTGGAGTAATTTCAGTGCTGTCAGACAATGTTGACATCTAGATTAACCTCTGTGCAGTGGATTTGACCACACAGCTCATTGAGATGCATGTGGCATGTCCCTGTAAATCCCATCTGAAACCCTCGGTGGCCCACCCACAGCCACCCCCTTTCCTGTCTCCGCCTACTGATCTCACAGTCCATGAACTTTTAGCTTATGGGAGCAAAGGCACTGATGCTGGGGTCTGACCCTCAGAGAGAAAGCTTTGACCTTTCTGAGTCCTGTTTGCTGCTTGGTCAGAGTGACAGTGCTTGTCACTGTATTGACTTTTCCCCAGATGAGACTGCAAATCAAGGCATGAAAGCCATTCCACCGATGATGAACAGTTTTATGGCCAATCTCAAAGTAAAATGGTCTGCGGAGGAGTCAAGGGCCCAGAGTTGGTCCCTAAGTATGCCTCCAGTCTTTCAGCTTTTAAGAAAACAGAAGACGCAAACAAGGTCATGACTGCAGATGAGGTGGGTGGGATCTGATGGCTGGAAGGGCTTGTCCTCTATACAGGTGCTTCCTCTGGACCTTTTAATAAAGGCAGCGCAGGCTTCTACTCACTCGGCTGGGACAGTGCTTTCTAGGTCGTGGGTATGATGCCATACTGAGATCCCATAGTCAAATGAAACCTTTCGTATAAGATGGCTCACACCAAAAGCACATACATGCATCTCATGCATCAAAAATTCTGAAAAAAGACCTTCAGCTTGGCCCCAGCTACCTCCGGATTCTGCAAAGCTACTCAACATAATCCAAGGCATTTCTGAAAACACAGATCAGGATTTGCGAATTTACCCTGCCCAAATCTGAAGAACAAATTTCTCTGCATAGTTGTTGAATCTGACTCTCCTTCAAATTATTTTTCCTTCTTTGCTTCTTTAGTAGTGGGAGTCTCTTTGTATGTTCTTAGATATTTCTTTAGGAGAATTGAAAGTTTTTAGTCAAGGACATTGTGTTTATTGACTAAGAAAATAGATTTCTGGACTGAGTGATGCAACAGCTACACAGAGGGAATCTTGATGACTTTATTTAAAAGCAATGATCAGAATTGTGGGTTTTTCCTGCCTTCTCAAACTGATAGAGAACAAATCATATTCATCTTTATGTTATTTATGACGTTTATTCACTTCCACATATGAGCAAGTGCATGCATGCAAATGCCTGCATAATTCTATTGCATAGAGACCCCATTTGTGTTGCTTTCATTGATCTCAGCATGTGTGCACAAATGAATGCAGCACATGGGTGCTTTCCCTTACTGTAGCTCATCATTGTTTGTATTAGCAGCACAAAGCCTATGATTTTCCATACGATGAGGATTTTTTATTTTTATTTTTTTTACAAACTTGAGGCTCCTTTGATGGCAAAAGAAAACACCCAAGTTCTCAAATTTTTCATATATAAAGGTAGGCCTTCTCCCTATTATTTTTTCAAGATTAAAAAAAAAACCCAACGAGACTGAGCCTTGATTCTGATTTTCTGTAATTAATTTTCTGGGGAAAGGGGTATCAGATTCATCATAAATATTATGTGTAAAGGTTAAGCAATTACTGGCTCAATCACTGGATATAAAACTCATGTGTTCTAATTGAACCAGGTGGCATGAAGTCCTTGGCACACGGAAGAGAGCTGAGTTAGAAGCTGGATGGTAGGGCGCTTGGCTTGGTAGCTGAGTGAATATCAGCTCTTGATGAGCAGTAGGCAACCAAGCTGCAGGTTGTGCTCTCTCTCAATCATCAGTGATGGGGAAAGCTCCTCTGTTCTAAGCTGTTGCTCAGATTAGTTCCTGGTGGAGTATGCCATTGCAGGTATTCTCCGGGAGCACGTTGTTTGCAGACATCCCACTCCAAAGGGCCAGAGGCGTTTGCACCATATGCTCAGTTTCTCATTCCCACCTTTCTCTGAATTCCAAATCTTATCTGTTCCCAGTTCCCTACCTCACTGACCTCTTTCCAGACTTTAGGAGCTCTAGGCATCTGAGGAAATTCTAGGTGTCTCATCTTCTTAGCCTGAACATGTTGTGATTTAGTCTGGGTTTCTGCGGAAGGAAGCAAACTGCTCTCCCAGCCATCCATCCATCAGCCTCTTTCCAGCTCCGTGGACCAAATGATTGGTGCTCATTAGCGCCTCATCAGTTGCCTTTGCACGGGCGACTCCAGTACAACAGGCCTATTACAAGGCCCCAGTCTGTGTTTTTGCAGTCATCTCATCCTTCTGGGTTGGTTATAAAGGCAAGCCTTCCTATAAACATGTTTTCCTTCGCATTTCTCTCTTGTTTCCTGGCTGCTAAACATCCTGGTAAATGGCAACGTACAGTTTTCCTTTTTTTTTTTCTCTAGTCTACTGTGAGTGGGAGGCCATGCCTATCCATGGACCAGCACTCTGTGTGTCAG